GAGATCTAGCCGACGAAGTATACATGGAACAGCCCGAATTATTTGTGAAATAACTTCTTCTTCTCTTCCGGAGAAGAAGAAAAGGTTTGTAAGTTGATAAAATCGTTATAGGGACTGAAACAATCTGGACGTGAATAGCACAAAAAGTTAAAAAATTATGTCTTAAAGAAAGGAGCCTATAGCACAGAAGCAGATCTCTGTTATGTTATATGTTTTTGGGAAAAATGAAAAAAGGGTTGTAATGATTATTTATGTAGATGATATAATATTAGTTTCTGAAAGTTTAGAGAAATTAAATGAAATAAAGTGTATGTTAAAGGATTTTGGCAGAATTTGAAATGACAGACCTGAGACCAATAAAAGAAATTTTGGGTACGAAAATTGAAAGAAATGAACTAACAGTGTATTGTGACAATCAGTGCGCGATTGAATTATCGAAAAATGCCGTTTTCCACATACGTAGCAAACACAGATATAAGTTACACGTGAATTAGTGGAAAAGGGTGAAATAAAAGTGAATTACTAAAGGACAAAACATATGATAGCGGACATATTAACTAAAGCATTGCCAAAAATTAAACATAGAGACTGCGAACGTATGTTTAATTTAGAGTGAATTAGTCCGCAAAGCATGTTATTGATATATTCTAATATACTTATTAGAAATAAAAGATCATTTATATTTATTATAAATAAAAATAGATTATTTAAATTTAGAAAATTTAAAAAAAATTGATTGAAATATGATATTTTTATGAATAACATAATTAGATACGACTAATAATTAAAAGTATAATTTTTATTTAAATAAAAGTTAATTAAATAATATCAAAAATTAATCTATATTTTTGATTTTTAAGAAAATGCTTATTTCATATTTGAATTGTATAAAGCAAAAATAATTTTTTATTTTCTCATATCTTATATTGAATATGAAAAAAACCAAATGAAAAAGCCACGCAAATAATATCGTCGCTTTTCATAAATATAATTTGTTGAATGTTAATTCTTTTTTCAACAAATCTTCATGACAGAAATATTGCATTTAAGAGCAGTGACAAAGGTATACGCACTGTTGATGACATGAACGTGCTTCAGAGTGAGCTTGTCAAATGAGAGATTTTCATACATCTTTCGCATTCTTCATATATATAGACAATTTAAAGATTTACAATCAGATCACTCATAAATTTTAATTTTGAGTGTGAGGAGTTCTCTCCGCACAATAGCAGTTGCCATGTCTTTAATCAAGTGCATACCACAAGTATTATTCATCGTTTTTTCACACAAAATTACCAGAGGTGATAATGAAAAATTCTGGAAATCTTTCCCATAGATTCTGATTTGTTTTGAAGATTGATTCTCTACGACTTTTCAGAATCTTTTAGAAGGATAGACAAAATTACAATTATTATAACATTAGTTATAAATAAAAACAAAACACGACGATGAATCTGTAATGTTATAATCTATTAGTCCGTTATATTATTTTAATCACAATTCAATATTCTTTATAAAAAATATACGTGTACCACATAAAGGAAATTTCCATGGAGAAAATCTCTTTCTTATAGTTTGGAACATTGTCACACTCTTATTGAGCGACTTTTGACGAATACAATCAAGAAAGCACGCTGATTGTAAAACAATGTCATGCGAATCCGATCAATCGCGTTTATTTACAGACAGAATTCTTCGTGAATACATCAGATTTCAGTCATTCTTGATAGAGTTTGTGCATTTCTTTGTGGATTTCAGAGAGTTTTTATTATATAGTTTTTATTAACATAAGTTTTTATTATATAGTTTTTATTAACATAAGTTTTTATTATATAATAAAAAATATATAATAATTATAGATTTTTTAGGTTTGTTATATGTTATAATTGTTTATAATTGTTTTAATTGTCTATAATTGTTTTTAATAGATTTTAAAAATTTCCAATGCAGTATAAACTGAACTATAAAAAATACGTCTATCCATTTTGTGGATTAACAGACCGTAAAGTGACGGATAGTAGCATTTCATTTTATAAATTTCCAGTTAATGGTAGTGATTGTTGTATGACGTGAGTGATCAACTGTGGATTAGACGATTGGGTGAAAATGTTTAATAATTCATGAAAATTTTACTTTATCTATATTGTATATTGCTTTATAAAAAATAAATAAATGTACATTTCAAGAAATAAGAAGTTTTGTTAAAATTAAAAATAATAATAAAATAAAATAAAAATAAGTAGTTATTAAAGATCCTGCTCCTAATTTTAAATTTAAAATATTATGTTTTTTATATTTTCGCTTTCTAACAAATAGTATTAGACATAAGAAAATCCTCTTAAAATGCACTTATGCAAGTTATGTTTTGAATAAAAAATCTGAAACCTATTTCCCTTTAAATATTTTTTTGGAATTCGTCACGCTATGAGTCCTAAAATTCGGTCAATGACCAAAATCAGGAAAAGATGTATAAACACGACGAAAAAAGTCCACACATAATAGTTTTACATCAGCTAGCGAGAGCTAGTGGAAAATCTTATCTTGCTCTAATAAAATTCTGTGAAACTGTAAAGTATAAGTTCTTAATTACATGCTTACAACATAACAACGTTTTCATTTGTCATTTTTCGTGGGGATTTCAATTTCAAAAAACCGGATCTCAGTTTATTACGTGTCATTCTATTACAAATATTATAGCCGTCAGATTCAATTCAGATTTAGATTTAGTAAACTATTTTATAACGTCACTTGTGCACTCATATATAACGCAATTTCAGATATATTTCAAAAATAAATGGTATCATACGTGAGTCTTTGAGTTCGCCTCAACAATTGCCATGAAAAAAAAATATAAAATTCCATTTCATTTGAAATTTATTCCATCACGAAAATATAAAATATAATTTACACCATATAATGTACCCCTTTGT